ATATGAGTGGATGTAGTGACCACAGTGTTTTTCGTGTGAAACCTTCATAAGAGTGTATATCAATGATACCTTAATAAATAAATAAATAATAAAATGGCCACCCTCCCACCCACCCCACCAAAAAAAATATGGGCACAGTGTTGCCAGGTCATCTAGATTTTTTAATTTTTCTTAGCAGAGGCCAGAAATTTGGATTTTTGTGTAAAAAAGTCTAAATGTTTTAAGTATATTAAAATATTTAAAAGCACTATATAGGCCAAAGAAAAGACCTCTGTGGGCCAGATGTTTCTTCTTGTGTGCCACCACTTATCTGTGTAAATTCTGTAAGGCTCCAAGTCACCACTGAGGAATAAACAAGATACAGCCAAGAACAAAAAGCCTGAGCATACCACAATGACAATACTATATTAAGCCTACAGTGATTGAAACTTACATAGTTGATAAGAGCATATTTAAGATATATAGGATAAATATTTGAAATTAGGACTATTCTGGGAAATTGAAATGTGGGTTCACTTGGTGTAATTGGCCTCATTTGGGGTTCAACTAGTTATAAATTCAGCTGAGATCATGCATTTAAAAATAAACAAAATGAAAAAGTGTTAAAATATAATGCAAATACAATGCAAAACATCAAACTCAGACTTCTGCACATCTTTTCAAGAGCTTGGTGATCTGATAACTTGAACAGAGTTCTCAATTACTGCTAAAATAATTGGTATTTACTGTGTGTGTGTGTGTATATGCACACATGTGGTAGTGAATCTCTCACAGTTGAGTTTTGTCAAGTTGAAGTCTTTCTGTCACATAGAGGTTTCCAAGAAGTCTTCTATTTACCTCTCTAGGTAGATTGCTGTCAGTGAAACCCACAGAGAGACTGAGAAGAGGAGAAATCACCCTTTAAAAACAATCTGGTGACACACCCATTAGGATGGTGACTATTGAGAAAACAGAAAACACCAAATGTTGGTAAGGATGTGGAGAAATTGGGAGCCTTGTGCACTTTTAGTGGAAATGTAAAATGGTGCAGCCACTATGGAAAACAGTATGGCAGTTCCTCAAAAAATGAAGAATAAAATTACCATGTGTCCAGGCAGTTCCATTTCTGTGTATACATCCTAAAGAAGGGAAAGCAGGGACCCAAACAGATACTTGTACACCCATATTCATAGCAGTATTATTCACAGTAGCCCCGAAGTGGGAGCAACCCAAGTTATCCATTGACAGAAGGTATGGATAAATGTGGTATGGATATACAAAGAAATACTATTCAGCCTTAAAAAGGAAGGAAATTCTGACACATGCCACAATATGGATGAACCTTGAAGACATTATGCTAAGAGAAATAAGCCAGTCACAATAGGATAAATAAAAATACCGCACTTATATGAGGTATCTAGTGTTACTATTAAGCAAGGGAACCTCCCTAACACGGTGTGGGGAGGCCAGCAGGAGGAGCTCTCACATCCACCACTCCTCATTTGCAGACCCCACCAGAAAAGACCCAACACCTAGCCAGTACATACCGAGTTTGCTACTTTTACTACCCAGCAGCAGGCAGGAGGAAGGTTTGTGCCTTGCTCCAGCAGCAGCCCAGGCAATGAGAAGCCATGACAGGTGGAACTTGCATTTACACCAGTGGACTTTATGCTTAGAACAAGCTCTCCCAACTGAGCCCATTTCTTTTTTGACTTTGGCTTTGCCATAGCTTGCAAGTCCCGAGTTGCAATTATCTGCTATTCCTGAATAAACCCAGTTTTGCTGGTAAAATAACTGAGGGGTTATTTATTTATTTATTGAAGTATTGTTGATATACGATCTTATCTTGGTTTCAAATGTATCATACAGTGGTTCAACAGTTACCCACATTATCAAATCCTCACCCTCTAGTGTGGTTACTATCTATCAACACAGAAAGATGTTGCAGAATCATTGACTATGTTCTCCAGGCTGTACTACAGTCTCCATGACCAACTTATATTGTGATGGCAAATTATTGTGCTCTTTTATCCTCCTCACTCTCTCCACAACCCATGCCCCAGCCCCTCCCCCCTGGTAACCACTAGTCACTTCTCAGTGTCTGTGAGTCTACTGCTGTTTTGTTCCTTCTGTTTTGCTTTGTTTTTATAACTGGTTTTGGTACACCATAGAATGAGATGCACTATGTGGTAGCTCGAAGCATTTACTGGCACTTTGAAAAAGAGGTAGCATTTGGGCTGGACTATGAAGGTTGAAAATTTTGACAGTGAAAAGACAGTGGCAAAGGAATGGGCAATACAGGCTGAGGACAAAGATGCACTCCCACAAACTCACAGAGGGAATGTACAAGGCAGAAACTGTATAGTGAACTACAGATTAGAGTTGTTCTTGTCAGGAATCAAGAGGAAGTAACCCAACAGCTGTTCTACACATAAGAGAGGACATAATAGATTCCTGGCTTTCATGGATTTATCAGTCATCACTGTGCCTGAACGTTCACGACACTAGCAACATTTCACTTTGCTGAAACACAATTTAGAACGTTATTGCCAGGTGGTATAAAGCAAGCCCAGCCAACCACCAGCATATGTCACACAGCAGCAGTGGGCTGCAACAGATTATGGCTCTGCCACTCAGGAACTGTGAGTTCTTGGTCATGTTTCTCAACTCATCTGTACCTCAGTTCCCTCATCTGTAAAATTAGCATAAAATCACAAAAATTAAATAATATGAAGTACCTAGAATACTACCTGGCACACAGTAAGCACTCAATAATGTTAGCAATTAATATGTCAGCTATTGTTCCTCACAGTTTATGTCTGCAATAACTCTCAAAGAGGATATGAAGGAATTAGTCATGTTTTCAATTTTACTTTATGGTATATAACAGATGAAGTTATATGCCTTATCAGTATTTATAGATTTAAAATGTGTTAGGGTCCCAGGTTTTAGCTCTCATTATCTACTATATATTCTGTTTTCACCTACACACGTGAGATTTTCACTGTATTTTCAGCATAAAAAAACTAAGAACCACTATGGTAACAGGAGCAAGAACATGGGCTTTGGGGCCACACACTCCATCCAATAAACTTGTGTTCAAATCCCAGTTCCACAGTCCTGGATACAGCACCACCTCTTCTGTAAAATGAGAATATCTAGCTTTGGAATTATAAATGAAACATATAATGTATCTAAAAATGTTACTGCCCATCTCTACATGTTGTATGTAGCCAATAAATATTATTATCCCTCAGGTAAACAGGTTATAGATGGGTAAGGCTGAGATGTAATACCTTCAAACTCATCTAAATCTCAGACACTTGTTTTTTAATAGCACCTATTATGTGCCAGACTGACTGCAAAGAGTTCCTGGTTACAGAGATTCAGAGTGTACCAGCACAAGTATATTTAGTTTAGAAAAAAATGACTTTTTAGCTGTATAAACCAAGGCTGCTTTGACCATACTGCATAAAACCATCATTTCTACAGATAAAAAATAGTCACTGCTGGAAATTTCACACGGTTCAACAAAACATAACAGGTTTATAGTAGATGGGAAACATTCTAGATGGGGTGTTTATGTAATTTACTGTGGAAAAGGCAATAGATTTAAAAACAAAAAGACCTGGGTTTCGGTCTCCAGCTTATAAGCATCATTGTTCTCTGAAAAGCTGTCTTAATAAATAAACAGCCTAAGCTAGAGATCCTGAGATAAAAATTCTACCAAGTGGAATGAAGAAAAATTGTTAAGCTTTGGGAGAAAAGGTAACCAATTATTTATCTTTTGTTTTCTCCTTCAAAGCCTCAGGGAAGGTAAGTGCTTGAGTCCCCTCTGATATTCATGAGAAAAAGAAAACTACTATAGAGAGAAGCAGCTGCTCACAGGTTCTGGATTTGTTCAGCATCATGTGTGCACTATCTAGTTCCATTACTTCCTAGCTATGTAAGCCTCGGCAGTCCCTTAATCTTCCTGAGCCTGTTTTACAATGGAGTAAACAGTACCTTATGAGATTATATGAAAAACATAAAGCAATGTCCAACTGTGCACGGGAATTATCAATGAATTCTTTCCAACACTCACATCCCTGGATTAACAGTTTAGGTAAAAACTTATCAATCTGTACACAAAACAAAGAACTTGCTAATACTGTATTTTACCACCACATCTGAATGACACCTGGAGAGGCCAAATCAACCCTGCATTTAAAGGATGAAATCAACAGGCGTTGTTAAATGCAATCTCATTTCTGAAAGAGCGAATAACAAGCATTTGGGCGGCTTTATACTTTATACATTTTCCTATACATAAGATAATTTTCCTATACATGAGAATTTATCAATTCTCAGAACCACTCTCTGATATGAGTACTACTAGTATCATTATCAGAGGAGAAAAACCAAGGGCCATAGGGTTCAAGTTGCTTCACTAGAGCTACACTGCCAGTTAAAATGCAAAGTTGATTCTGGACATTGTCTATCCTGGCTTCAATGTTCATGTTCTTTTTAATAAAAATACCTGGGACCGTTTATTGAAGGCAACTATAGGGCGGGCACTTTATACATAACATAAGCCTCACAACAACCATTTACTAGGTGCAAAGCTGATTCTCAAAAAGGTTAAGGTATCTGCACAAAGTTACCCTGTTAAGCAGTGTCAGTGCAACAGCAGAACACAGATCTGCTTGACTTCCAAGACCGTGCTCTTCCCACGCTTTGTGTCAATTAAACAAAAACTCTGAATACACGAAGAATGTAAAATAGGCTATTAATACAAGTTTAGTTTTTCCACAATGACTCATTAGCTATACTGATAAACTGCAAAACAAAGCCAAGGAACCAGTGGGTGCAAAATTACGAGAAATTTCATCTTTCAAACTTACATTAGTTAATTTTAAGGTTCCGTTAAGATAACAATTGATAATTACCATGCTTAACACCCTTGCCCGCAAGAATTTTCTCTCTTAATTTAGGAGCTTCAAAATAGGGTAAAATGAAACGAAACACTTTCAGCTTACTGATTTCCTTTCAGCCTGAGAAGGTGTCGGCGATCCAAAGCCCCCAGGAGACTGTGTGTAGCCGCCCGCTCCGCCAAAGGCAGAGCCGCCATAGCTTTCAAATCCGCCTGGTTTTAAACAACAGTTTTAAGACCTGTACTGCTTTCCAAGCCTCTGAAACACCCACAGGTACCCTCAGACTTCACCCCCTAACACTGACGGCCCCTTCCCCAGCCCCCACAAACCCACGCCTCCGGCCCCTCCCCCACTCCCGCCACCACACGCCACTCGCACCCCCACCCTCTTGCTATATTCCTTCTTGCCACTCCCATCCTCCTCCGCCCCACTCATCAGTACTGTTCCACATCTTGGTCACGATTCCCGCAGGAACGAGGCCCAGACGGTGGCAGTCCGCTGGGCTCTCGGAACACCTCAGAAGCCTGTTGCGACTGCAGTGCTCTGTCTACTTTCCGCTGGAGCCACAAACTCCTGCCGCGAAGGACGGAGCCAATAAGCGCCCAGAACGCTTCTCGCTTCAACCAATCAATACCCACGAATCTTACGCTTTTCCTCGTCTTCTCGAGCCATACTCCTGAAAACTCGCACTCTGCTCTCACTAGGGTCGGAAGCCTATTCGGCCATCTTTACAAAGGGCAAAACAGTCCTACCGGAAGCACGGAGCGGCGAGATTCTGATAGGGCGGTGTCTCAAGAAAAACAACCAATCAAAATACTACTCCCGTAGCTCAGCGCGCGTAATTCCCTCACCTTCAGGCAAGTGGGCGACACCTTACATCACTTCCTTTGTTTGGCGTCTTCTTGTTCCCGCCAAAGTCTCACCAATCACACGACGCCTTACGTTAATTCGCTATATTAGAATTTCTGCTTTGGTGTGTCTCGCGGTATTTGCGCACCTGCGAAACGACGTACTAACTTCACTCTACCTCGCGACATAGCTTGCTCTTCTGTATAAAGAGCCAAGTTCTACTGTATCGCGGTCTCCTGGTCCCGCTTTTCCCCAGTGAGGTTGTAAGAAACCTACACTCTCTTCCCCAGGATGGTCTGAGGATTGCTCACCGAACTCCACAACCGCCTCCCTCCGCAACTGGCCCCCACCCAGTCTAATTCAGCTCAGCATACCCGGATGTTTAAACAATTCTTCATGTCACGTTTGCCCCCTTCCTGTACAGTGGAACACGTCAGTTACTTCTTTGCTGTAAATCCCTCCAGATCGTTAGACGCCCTTATTACCGCCCCCTTTATAAAAAGATTTATCGGTGCCTCTTTTGTTCCAAGCGCTGTGCTGGCCACCGGATTTCAATGGTAAATAAGATAGACATGGCCCCTGGGCTTCTGGGCCATTTTATTTTCTTTTTCTGTCTTAAGTATTTTATGTTTATTGACTCAATCCTGTGAGTTAGGTGAGTACTTTGTATGAATTTTACAGCAGAGGAAGCTGAGGCAGAGAGACTAAGTTGTCTGCATTCAAGTCAAGGAATTTACTATACCTTCTTGAACATCCTAGAACTGGGTCACAAACAAGTGACAACTGGGGTCAGGCAGGAAAACTGTAAATGTAGTGGGTTGGATAACAGAGGGAAAAATTTACTTTTTTCTCCACAGTAAAAAACAACCACACCACACAAGCATAATGGTAACTAGCAACTGACATAAAGCATATGGGCACAATCTTACTATGCTGATGGACAGTGACTGCAATGGAGTGTGTGTGGGGGACTTGATAATATGAGTGGATGTAGTGACCACAGTGTTTTTCGTGTGAAACCTTCATAAGAGTGTATATCAATGATACCTTAATAAATAAATAAATAATAAAATGGCCACCCTCCCACCCACCCCACCAAAAAAAATATGGGCACAGTGTTGCCAGGTCATCTAGATTTTTTAATTTTTCTTAGCAGAGGCCAGAAATTTGGATTTTTGTGTAAAAAAGTCTAAATGTTTTAAGTATATTAAAATATTTAAAAGCACTATATAGGCCAAAGAAAAGACCTCTGTGGGCCAGATGTTTCTTCTTGTGTGCCACCACTTATCTGTGTAAATTCTGTAAGGCTCCAAGTCACCACTGAGGAATAAACAAGATACAGCCAAGAACAAAAAGCCTGAGCATACCACAATGACAATACTATATTAAGCCTACAGTGATTGAAACTTACATAGTTGATAAGAGCATATTTAAGATATATAGGATAAATATTTGAAATTAGGACTATTCTGGGAAATTGAAATGTGGGTTCACTTGGTGTAATTGGCCTCATTTGGGGTTCAACTAGTTATAAATTCAGCTGAGATCATGCATTTAAAAATAAACAAAATGAAAAAGTGTTAAAATATAATGCAAATACAATGCAAAACATCAAACTCAGACTTCTGCACATCTTTTCAAGAGCTTGGTGATCTGATAACTTGAACAGAGTTCTCAATTACTGCTAAAATAATTGGTATTTACTGTGTGTGTGTGTGTATATGCACACATGTGGTAGTGAATCTCTCACAGTTGAGTTTTGTCAAGTTGAAGTCTTTCTGTCACATAGAGGTTTCCAAGAAGTCTTCTATTTACCTCTCTAGGTAGATTGCTGTCAGTGAAACCCACAGAGAGACTGAGAAGAGGAGAAATCACCCTTTAAAAACAATCTGGTGACACACCCATTAGGATGGTGACTATTGAGAAAACAGAAAACACCAAATGTTGGTAAGGATGTGGAGAAATTGGGAGCCTTGTGCACTTTTAGTGGAAATGTAAAATGGTGCAGCCACTATGGAAAACAGTATGGCAGTTCCTCAAAAAATGAAGAATAAAATTACCATGTGTCCAGGCAGTTCCATTTCTGTGTATACATCCTAAAGAAGGGAAAGCAGGGACCCAAACAGATACTTGTACACCCATATTCATAGCAGTATTATTCACAGTAGCCCCGAAGTGGGAGCAACCCAAGTTATCCATTGACAGAAGGTATGGATAAATGTGGTATGGATATACAAAGAAATACTATTCAGCCTTAAAAAGGAAGGAAATTCTGACACATGCCACAATATGGATGAACCTTGAAGACATTATGCTAAGAGAAATAAGCCAGTCACAATAGGATAAATAAAAATACCGCACTTATATGAGGTATCTAGTGTTACTATTAAGCAAGGGAACCTCCCTAACACGGTGTGGGGAGGCCAGCAGGAGGAGCTCTCACATCCACCACTCCTCATTTGCAGACCCCACCAGAAAAGACCCAACACCTAGCCAGTACATACCGAGTTTGCTACTTTTACTACCCAGCAGCAGGCAGGAGGAAGGTTTGTGCCTTGCTCCAGCAGCAGCCCAGGCAATGAGAAGCCATGACAGGTGGAACTTGCATTTACACCAGTGGACTTTATGCTTAGAACAAGCTCTCCCAACTGAGCCCATTTCTTTTTTGACTTTGGCTTTGCCATAGCTTGCAAGTCCCGAGTTGCAATTATCTGCTATTCCTGAATAAACCCAGTTTTGCTGGTAAAATAACTGAGGGGTTATTTATTTATTTATTGAAGTATTGTTGATATACGATCTTATCTTGGTTTCAAATGTATCATACAGTGGTTCAACAGTTACCCACATTATCAAATCCTCACCCTCTAGTGTGGTTACTATCTATCAACACAGAAAGATGTTGCAGAATCATTGACTATGTTCTCCAGGCTGTACTACAGTCTCCATGACCAACTTATATTGTGATGGCAAATTATTGTGCTCTTTTATCCTCCTCACTCTCTCCACAACCCATGCCCCAGCCCCTCCCCCCTGGTAACCACTAGTCACTTCTCAGTGTCTGTGAGTCTACTGCTGTTTTGTTCCTTCTGTTTTGCTTTGTTTTTATACTCTACAAATAAGTGAAATCATATGGTATTTGTGTTTCTCTGCCTGGCTTATTTCATTGAGCATAATATCCTCTAGGTCCATCTATGTTGTTGCAAATGACAGGATTTTCTTCTTTTTATGGCTGAATAGTATTCCATTGTGTATATGTATCACATCTTCCTTATCCATTCATCTTCCGATGGACACTTAAGGTTGCTTCCATATCTTGGCTATTGCAAATAGTGTGACGATAAACATAGGGGTGCATTTCTCTTTTCGATTCAGGGATTTTGTTTTCTTCAGGTAAATTCCTAGAAGTGGGATTACTGGATCAAATGGTATTTCTATTTTTAGTTTTTTGAGGAACATCCATACTGCTTTCCGTGGCAGTTGCACCAATTGACATTCCCACCAACAGTGTAGGAGGGTTCTCATTTCTCTGCATCCTCGCCACTGTTAGTTATTTCTTGTCTTTTGGATGGTGGTGATCCTTACTGGTGTGAGGTGATATCTCATTGTGGTTTTGACTTACATTTCCCTGATGATTAGCGATGTGGAAGCATCTTTTCATGTGCCTATAGGCTATTTGTATTTCTTCTTTGTAGAAATGTCTGTTCAGTTTCTCCACCCATTTTTTAATTGGGTTATTTGTTATTTGGGTGTTGAGGAGTATGAGCTCTTTATATATTTTCGGTGTTAGCCCCTTATCAGATGAGTCATTTCCTAATATATTCTCCCATACTGTAGGATGCCTTTTTTTTCCTGCTGATGGTGTCCTTTGCTGTACAGAAGCTTTTTAATTTGATGTAGTCCCACTTGTTCATTTTTTATTTTGTTTCCCTTGCCCAAGGAGATGCATCCAGGAAAAAATTGCCCCATGCTTATACTCAAGAGATTTTTTCCTATGTTTTCTTCTAAGAGTTTTATGGTTTCATGACTTACATTCAGGTCTTTGATCCATTTTGAGTTTACTTTTGTGTATGGAGTTAGACAATAATCCAGTTTCATTCTCTTACACATAGCTGTCCAGTTTTCCCAACATTAGTTGTTGAAGAGGTTGTCTTTTCCCCATTATATTTTCATGGCTCCTTTATCTTATAATAATTGACCATATATGTGTGTGTTTGTATCTAGGCTCTTTATTCTGTTCCATTGATCTATGGATCTGTTCCTGTGCCGGTACTAAACTGTTTGATTACTGTAGCTGATGGGTTTTTTTTTAAGGATAACACTAGAATAGTCAGATTCATAGAGACAGAAAGAATAGTGGTTTCCATTTTCTGGGGGAAGGGGTGAATGGGGAATTGTTATTTTATGGGTTTACAGAATTTCAGTTTGGGAAGATGAAAAAGTTCTGGGGACAGATCCTGGTGATGGTTCCACAATAATGTAAATGTAGTTACTACTACTGAATTGTACATTTTAAAGTGTTTAAAATGGTAAATTTTCTGTTTTGGATATTTCAACACAATTTTTAAAGGGGAAACCTCACTCTGGTGTTTATTGAGTACATAGCACATATGAAGTACATGCACTACCTCTGCTAAATGCCTAATATGCTTATCTCCCAATATTTTTGATCTGTCATTTTAACCACCAACATCATTTGCCTCCACTTTATAAATGCACATATTTTAATCTGTCCCAACACTGATGATTTTCATTAGACTTAATTCCCTGTTCAACCTTCTGGACAGTGAGATTTAGCTATTTCTAATTGTTTCTATTTTTTATTTTACTGAAATCATTTTTATGTGAATCAATTCTTTTGTGAGTAAACTTTATAATGAACATATAATTCATTATTCAAATTTTAT